GCCAATCATCCAGATGGTGTGGATGGTATCGGGAGTTCTGCCGCGATGTGCGTACGTGAAATTTGGCGGCTGGGATTAATCCGAACAATTTCTCAGAGCACTCCCCGTGGTAGACGCGAAAGCAAATGCAAAGGAATGCAACATCTCTTCGCAGTGCCAATGAATCGAGCCAATCGGAAAGGACTCGGTCGTCGACGATTCGAGCCGCTCTGCGCTGGATACGGTCAAGTGGAAGGAGCTGGCACTGGGGAGCCCCTGCCCAGAGATGGGAACAGTATTCCATGTGAGGCCGAACCTGCGCCTTGTAAAGTTGCAGGCGGTGTGCCGGCATGAAATACTGTCCCGCTCTGCTGACCACGCCAAGCTTTTTAGAGGCCCATTTGGCCTTCTCTTCCAAGTGGCCACGAAACTGCGCGTCACTCGATATGTCGACTCCGAGGATACCGATACTGGCTGAGGCAACAAGGGGAGTACCTTGAAACTGAGGAGATACGACAAAGGGGTTCTTTTTAGCGGTAAGCGCGCAAACTTGTGTCTTCTGAGGATTAAACTGGACTAGATTTAGTCGCCTCCAATCCGAGACTTTGTTCAGCAAAGACTCGACTTCAGACACAAGTTTGTTCCGGTACTCGGCGACGTTTTCCCGAGAAATATTGGCACGGCCGGTGTATAGAGCATCACCAGTGCTGTCATCCGCATAGCAATGATCGTTACCAGTTAGCAACATATTTTTGATATGCAGAAGAAACAGCGTTGGTAATAGTACACAGCCTTGTGGAACACCAGCGTTAATAGGCTTGTAGTCGGAGCATGCACCGTCTACAACGACCTTGATGCTCCGATCTGCAAGGAAGCTGGTGATCCAATCGCACAATTTCTCGGGAAGCCCATAGAAAGGGAGCTACGAAAGAAGCGCTTTGTGCCAAACCCGATCGAAGGCCTTCGCAATGTCCAAACTAACGGCCAACGCCTCCCCCTTGGACTCTACTGCCTCTGCCCATCTATGGGTCAGGTGGACCAGAAGATCACCAGCCGATCGACCCCGATGAAAACCGTATTGGCGGTCACTAATCAGCTGGTGATCCTCAAGGTACCGCATGAGGTGGCAGTTTATAACGGATTCCATTATTTTGGAGAACAAAGGGGTGATGGCGATAGGCCTGCAGATGGACGGTTCTGAGTGGTCGCCTTTTGTAGGGATCGGGTGGACAAAAGCTGTCTTCCATGATTTTGGGGACTACGCCTAGGGAGTAGGAGTACCGGAAAAGACGCGTTAGAACCGGTGCCAACTCCGGAGCACACGTCCTCAGCACAATTGGGGGATACCGTCAGGCCCACTCGACTTCTGGATGTCCAGGGAGAGAAGTGCTTTGCGAACCGAGCGCTGTGAGAACAGCACATCCGGCATGGAGCACTCACACCGCGGGATGGTCGGCGGTGTTTTCCCCCCGTCATCAAGAGTCGAGTTGGATGCAAAGAGGGAGCCTAAAAGGACGGCTTTGTGTTTTGCGTCTTGAGCCAGTGAGTCGTCCTCCCTGTGCAGAGATGGTAGTGATGGCTTACAGAAATTCCCTTGGACAGCCTTGGCGAGAGACCAGAATGCACGGGTTCCCGAAGGAAGGCAAACTAGTTTCTCGCCAATTCTGCCTATGTGCTCTGACTTTGCCTTGGCAATAACTCTTTTGAAGGACCTGGAGGCGAAGTTATACTTCTTTTTAAGTGTGCTGGTGTTTACATCCCGAGTCGCCGAAGCCGCAGCCCAGGCTTGATAACACTCCTGCTTACTGCGTAATGCAGTCTTACAGGAGCGACCAAACCAGGGTTGAGGTCTGCCTCCGATGGGTACCACAGATGATGGAATAAGTAGTTCCATTCCCTGTAGCACCACATCAGTGACAGAGTCAGCAACAGCGCTGGGATCATCCGGCGAGAAGCAAAAGCCCCCATGGGTAGGATGCAAAGAAAGACCGCATTCCGTCCCAATCCGCCGACCTGTAATGCCAAACACGGCGGCAAGCTGCAGATCGCAACTGCGGTTGGAGCGTGAGTGGCACCGTACTCCAGATCAGGCAATGGTCCGAAGAGCCGAGAGGGGCATCGACGGAAACCTGATATCCGTCCGGATGAGAGGTCAGCAGAAGGTCCAACAGGGAAGGTGTATGATCCTCCACATCTGGAATCCGCGTAGGCGAAGTAACCAGTTGTGTCAGACCATATGCCAAAGCAAAGTCATAAACAGATCTTCCCGCATGATCGGTTAAACGTGAACCGAGCCATTCGGCGTGGTGGGCGTTAAAATCGCCAAGGATCACGATCTCTGCGGATGGGACCTGTTATAGCAGAGAATCTGTAGTCATTTGGACATGGTCAATGAGTCGGTCTGTTTCGGCATTACCGCTATAGGACCTATAGAGGCACCCGTAGACGCGCATATGGTCGTCGCTGTCTACGCGTAGCCATAGGATGGACAGGTCCAAACCTTCAAGACTCCCGAGGCGTCGAGAACAGATGTCCTCTCTGACATACACGCAAACTCCAGCCCGAGGCATAAAGGAGTGCTCTAATTTGTACCCCGTGTAGGAGAGATACGAAATATCAGCCGGAGAGGAAACCTGCGTCTCGGTCAGAAAGAGCAAGGCCGGCTTCGCCGTCTCGAGATGGTAGTGGACGGTGTTTAGGTTCGAGTGAAGTCCCCTGATGTTGCAGAAATTCACGGATAGCGTGGCAGGGGTCGCCTTGGTCTTGTTGCTCAGTTTGCCCCGAGCAGTTATTGTGTTGAGCGGAATTTTGCCCCACCCACCAGAATACGCGGGGCAGCCTGAGCACCCACGCACAGGAGTGGAATAACATGGTCGTGGATGCTCAGCGAGGGATTCGCCAGGGGTACTGGTACCCTCCTGGGGTAGTCTAACGTCTAATTCCGCTACCATGTTGATGGGGGGGAGGGATTGGTCCTCCGGCCACCTGCACTCACCAGACGAAACGCAGAAGCAGAGCTTTTACTTCACGCCGGTATTCTGTGAGGTCGTGGTACCAACCCGGCTCGAGCCGGCCCATACGAGCAACAGCAAAAACTGCTGCGTGGCTCTACCACAGTTATGGCTCTACCACCGTTAAACGCATATATGTCTACGCATATAATACTACTGCAATAGGGATGTCATTTTTATAGTAAATCAGAAGATACAAGTGTACTTACTCTCATATTTGGCATAGTCAAGAAGCAAATAAAAGCAAAGAAGCAAAAAAAACCTTTGTATTTGCTCCGTAGGCATAGTATAAAGCGAACAAAGATGACTACTTGACATTTCTATTTGCACGTTTGAACTACACGCAACATCATTTAATAGATTTGTCTCTTTTTGCCTTATTTGTAAATAAAATTAGGAAAATCGAGACAAGTTTGTAGACTCAATTTATGTAAAATTGTAGGTTCTCTCTATGCATACGTACATATGTAATTACTCTAAGACACTATATACTATACTTTTAGGCCGGTGACCCACATAGGGAATCCCGTTTTCCCCGGCAAAATTTCGAACGGAATACTACGGTACGTGGGTCACAGATTTTATATGAAATTACAACGTTCGGAATCTCGAATCGGCATACGGAATTCCGAAGCGGAATTGCGTATGTATTGGCAGGCCTTACCTCTGCTGCTGCCTCTTTAGGCGGAGATCACTATTGTCAGCTGTCAAACCGAAGAGTATTAAGTTTCGGATTAGAATTCTATCAAGAGAAGCTATAATTTAAAAGAAGAAGAGGAAGTTTCATTTATTCATATTTATTATTATTATTTTTATAGAATATGGTAACAAACGAGCACACAGTCCACCTGATGGTAAGTGGTTACTGTCATCCATAGACATCTATATCTATCCTCAATAAAGACTCAAAATGCAGATGCGTTGTAACCCCTGAGGACTAAGATTGAATGCCTCTTGTCCAGTAAAAATGGTCTCAAGTTCTTTACACTCACCATACGAAACACAGCAGCATTAAGCTGCTATTTTACGCTGGTATTCTGAGAGAACGTGGTCCTTCCCCGCTCGAGCCGACCCATTCGTGCTACAACTATACTACTAATATAGCTGCAGCATGGCTCTACCACGTAAAAAATTGAAAGTACTCTGTGGTATTAAGTATTGTCAAAGCCAGTACAGTAGCCAGTCCAGCGTACTTCTATATATAGAGATCAGTGATAATTATACATTTCTCTCTACTCCACATCATTAACGAACTCCAAATAGTTCAAAACCACTTCTGTCGTCGGGCTACGAACGCACGCAACGTTCGTAACGCCGACCTCCATCGAGACTTAGAGCTCCCTACAATCCAGCTATTTCTAAAAACACTCTCTGAAAACTTCTTCAAAGCCTCAGAGTCTCAGTCAAATAATCTCATTCGTGAGGCAGCTTCCTATGCAGCCCCACTACCCTCTCACTATCGAGTCCGAAGACCGAAAAAACTCTTTCTCAGACCTCTCAAACAAGCTTTCGGCCGACCTAAACCGCCTCCTGGCGGCTCAGGCCGAATCTTCTCCTCGCCCTTAATTTGCCTTAGTTAGGCTCCCCTCTCAGCGGCTCCTCGCCGCCTGCGCCCCCTATTCCCTAAAGAGGGTCGCTTCTGATTCGGTAGAAAGGCCACACAAGCCAATGCCAGTCTCACAGGTGGTGTTTAGTGGGTAGGCACTTAGGTTTCGCAGTGAGTTCCATATAACCACGGCAACTGGCTGTCGTAGTATGTTTAGAGCAACCGCCATCTCCCTTCCCCGCCTCCCGGAGGGTAGCCCTTTTCATTACTTGTGGGCGCAAAAAAAAATTATACATTGTAACTTCAGGCTCAGAAGAGCTAGAAGCCAGAGCCATAAAGTCAGTTATAAAAAAATCAAAGTCAAACTAAATAAATATATTCATTTGATATTCATCTTCTGATCGTTCTTACAACAATTTATTTCAAGAGAAATTGTTATTTTTCAAAATTTGAATATTACCAATATGACTGAGACTAAAGAAAACATTTTCCTCTTCGTTCCTAATATCATCGGTTAGTTTTAGTTTTAATGAAATAGATTTTTATATTCCTTGCGTCAGTTTTAATTCCCTATGTATTTCAGGATTCGCACGGATTATTCTCGCTATTGTATCCTTTTATTACATGCCTACACATTGTGCATTAGCATGTGTTTGCTACATAACTTCTGCTTTGCTGGACGCCGTGGATGGCCACGCAGCACGATTTCTAAATCAAAGTAAGTTTAATTGATTGGTCATCCTTTAATTCAATTAATTAGCGTAGGTAAGTCATAGGAAAGTTACTTTCATTCTTTCCAGGGTTAAAGAAAATACTATTTTACTATTAGAATTTTTATTGTTGTTAGAATTGAAGCATTAATGTATTATTACAGGTACTAAGTTTGGTGGAATGTTAGATCAGTTGACAGACCGGGCTGGAACAGCTGGACTTATGATGATACTTGCTACTTTTTATCCACGTTACACATTCTGGTTCCAATTATCAATGGCTATTGATATAACTGGTCACTGGATATATCTGCACACATGCACATTACAAGGGAAGACTTCCCATAAATTTATAAACATGGCTGAGAATCCCATAATGCATGTGTATTACACAAACAAAACTGTACTTTTCCTCATGTGTGCAGGAAATGAAGCATTTTATGCAGCTCTCTATGTTATGCATTTTTATACTGGACCTGAGGGTGAGTTAAATAATTTAACATTATTTAATGAGATATTGACTTTGCATTTTGTAGTAATTATCATGATAAGTAAATGAATTTGAAGTATATTGAAACATGCCAAATGCTAGTCCTAAAGATTAGTAATGGACTACAGGATTATTGGTACCTACTAGTAATCTTTTGGTCACCACTTATAACTGTATGGCTAAAAAAAGCACCTTTGCCTGCACATGTGGCCATCATCTGAAGTTTTGAATAACCCACTAAAATCTAAATATTATTTATGAATAACAATAGCGTAGCACTGGGTCTTTGATTATTATCAAGATCTTGGCTAACAACACCCACAGGATGATAAAGGGTAGTAGATTTTCTTATACCTTCACTACAGTTTATATATGTTGACACAAAAATCCAATAAATGTTTTTGGTCTGACTAGACTAACAAGGCAGTTACTTTACAGTTAATTTGGTTAAGGTTTAGAATCAAGTTGCCTTACCAGGGGGGTGGGCGGCGGGGGCAAAGGGGTTGGGGTAGATTCGCCCCCCCCCCCGCTGACGTGCCTATTTTTTTATATTAAATGTTGAAGATTAAACTTGTTATTGGATGACTTCTGTAAAAATAATTAATAGGGAGGGGTGCGTCCCTCCACTGCCGAAGTAATACCAAAGTGTAGTCGACGGAGCCCTGCTAAGCGGAGCTCCTATTTCTGGATAGTTTATAAAAACATAACCCCAATGGGATGGAGGCGACCCCTTCTAACCTAACCTGTCCGAGTCAGGATGCCCCAAGTCCCGAGCGTGCTTCGCTCGCTCTTGGACCAAATAAAACACCAAAATGTTAACTTTTATAATTACCTTAATAAGTAAACATATTTTATTACTTCCACCATTTCCAAAAACGTAGTAAATTTGCTAGCAATTAGTGTCCAGAGGGGTAGAGAAGTCGTCGAAAAACAGGAGGTAGATAATAATAATCAGGAGCACATTCACGTAAACTCGGAAGCAATGGAATGACACATGACGCGAGAGTAATTTAAGTTCCATTTCAGAATATTATTTTAAATATTTCGATGCAGCTCTAGAAGCTGAAATTGCATGGGGGCGCTTGAGATAAGCCCCTTGACACCCCCCCCCCCCCCCCCCCGCCTAGTGACAGACTCCTCAAATTCAAGCGACTTCATTCTAAACCCAACCCATTAATTTAAAATAACATAAATACAAATGGTGGTTCCAAACAAAAAAGTCAAATATAAAAATAATTTAGAAAATATCTCACAAATATAATTACAAAAACAACATAGCCCAGAATTTACTTTAAATTAAACTTAATGTGTGTTTGAGAAAAAAAGTGATTAGGAAATTTGGCAGTGAATATCACCTTTTTTTGGTTAAATCTTAATGTCTTACCAAAATTCTCAGAAATCTTTCTTTAAAATGGGCTTATGAAATTTATAGGTCTTATTAAATGTGGGAAAATTAAATATTTGCCATTATTTAATTATAATATGATTTTTTTCATGAGGTGCCCTAATACATGCCATTTAAAGGCCAATTCACAACAGAACTATTAAGTACTTAAATAAAACTTTAAAAAATGTCTATTTTTTAAGTTTTATTAAAGTACTTAATAAACCAAATTTTTGGCGTGTGATCGTAAACTGAAAGCAGGCACAATATACTATATTAAATAGGGCATACATAAAAAAAATTTAGTATGACTGGTGTGGCATGCACAGCTTGTATACTAATTTTATCTACTGTGCATAGCATTCCTCTTCATAATTCTAAGCAGTAGGATACATTTGCTCTACATATATAGCACCATGTTTTTACGGTTCTGTACCTAATGGGTAACCAATGGGACCCTATTACTAAGCCTTCGCTGTCCGTCTGTCTGTCTGTCAGTGGGCTGTATCTCATGATCCGTTATAGATAGACAGTTGAAATTTTCACAGAATATTATATATATATATATATAAAATGAATACTAATAGTGAGTCAACTCGGCAATTAGACGGAGCAACGATAGGGCGCAGTATGAAGGAGAGCGGTGTCCCCTCCCCTGCCCGCGACGTCTGCGTTAGTACCGGTCAGCTTCAGTTGCTTACTGGTATGCCCGTTTAGGAGTGTCACGTACATGGAACCAGTTGCACAACGAACTAGTTTTGTAAAGTAGTAATTAGTTTGTATCTTTGTGTAGAAAAATAAATTATTGCGAGAAATACACAAAATATAATGTTATGAGACTATTATCTAAGGAAATGTTTTTGTGACAACCTTTTCATATTTTCAGCGACTAGACGTCAAGACAACCTTGTAGATATTTTGCAGTATAACAAAGGAGTTGGACCACTATTAGTATTTATTATACATGTGGTATTACTATGCCGCTATAACAACAAATAATAAAAATAGAAATAAATTAAAAATTAAAGGGGCTCCCCTACTAGAATCGTGTTTGCGATGACTCACACTTGCCGGCTTTTTTTTAAATATTTATTTGCTGGGTAGTGATGGCGTAAGAGGAACCACTACCCCATATCAACCAACACTAGAAGGACAAGGGACAGAAGGAAATGAAACAGGAGATGGGTAGCAAACATATCCTGAAGTAACTAACTGGAGTCTCTATGTTCAGTAGTAGACTTTGATAGACTATTATGTAATAAATGTTCTAATATTTTTAATTATGTACAAACTCTCTATTAATAAGTACCAGTATACTTGTTAACACTAAGTTTTTTTTTTGTTCAATTACAGTTCTGGGTATTGGATTGTTCAAATTAATAGCTCTTCTGACAATGCCAGTAGCAGTGGTTAAAGCAGCCATCTCTGTCCTCCATGCCATTGTTGCATCCCTTAATTTGGCTATTATTGATGTAAATGAGAGGGCTGCAATTTCGGAAAAACAGAAGAACTAAAGATAGATAATGGTAAAGTATTACCTAAAATTCAAGTATACTCACAATAATTTAGTCAATGATGAGTTCAAGTGAAAAATTTGTCAAAATTAAGTTGCTACATACTAATTTTCTATTAAAAATGAACTTTTAACATCATACAATATTTATATTTGTAATTGCTATGACTATTTTTAACCTTACAATACGAATTTTAGTATCATTATAATTTGTAAATTAATTCACAAGAGGAAAATTTTACTCCATTAAATATGCAGTTTCAAATTTTTTTAAAAAAATCTTAAAAATTATTTGGCTAATGCTCTTTTTTTTCATGGCTCATAATTTGATATAAGAAACTATTATGGCAAATAAAATTATGTAAAATATCTAATCATTTCCTAAGTCTTAAATATATATTCCGTATGTTTCCTTAAAGTGCAATGCAAAATACTTCAACAAAGTCAAAATAGCCCAGTGAAATGCCTATTATCATTCCCCTACGTATGTGTGGAGAATTATTATCTAATTATTGGCAATACGGAATATGTTAATATTATACATTGTTATGTATTCATGTTTAATAGAATACATAATTTTAAATATAAACTGATATAAATAAAATAACTAGCTAACATTTAGTGATGTAAATTACATTACTAAAAGTTACCTAGTTATTTTTACACATTACTATAAGTGAATATAATATAATAAAAATGGATTTCTTTGTTTTTTCTTACTATGTCCAAAGTTTCAAAAAGTACATAACATAATATTTACTTTTAATATTAAGTTATGTTAAACTCAGTTTGTTTAGTATTTCGTTTATAGTTTGCTAGTTCTATTTATATTTTGCATTTATTGATCTAATGTATTAAAAAAATTATGTGATTTAGTTATTATTTTTTACGTTAATTGAAATAATAACAATTTTATGGGATTATTGTTTGCACTAGTTTCATTTTTAAAATTTAATGAAGGCAAGAGAAGTTTGTCAGGATCATACCAAATAGAAAGGCTGTAGTCTCTGCCTACCCCTCTGGGTGATAGGCGTGTGTTTATGATTAGTTAGTATAGTTTTATTTTTAAAGTTTATAAATTATAAATTTTTAACTTGGCTTTCGCTAAATTCTTAACTTTGCCCTAAAATCTGGCATAAAGCCTGGATTATCTTTATTGTTACATATTGTCGGTGAGTCTGTTAATGATTGTGTAATATTTGAATGACTTAAGCAATTGAGGCCATATTCACACAATATATTTGTTTTGTCGAGATCATGATTCATAGCTAAAATCCGATAAGTGGCACTGTATAAAAGACTTTATTTATGAACTGAACTGACTCTTAATCACAATTTACATAATAGTATTATGTTGGTTCAGTGTCAAAAAATGAAATAACAACATTGCAGGCGGCGCAGTGGTTGAGTTATTAATAAATTTTAAACTGATGTTAAAAAAAAAGTAGATTGTCAATTAAATGATTAAACAAATTAAAACTTGCGATTTTGTTTGTACAGTAGGGCTACAATGGCTATCTCAGTACAGAACCAGAGTACGAAACATCCAACTGCAAAGAGGTGTAAGACAGGGTGACGTTATATCCCCGAAACTCTTCACCGCTGCACAGTAAGAAGTTTTCAAGCTACTGGACTGGAAAGGATATGGTATTAACCTCAATGGAGAATACATCACTTATTTTCGATTTGCCGACGAAATAATCCTTATGGCAGTCGCTGGAGGATTTAAGCACTATGTTCAATGTCGTTGATAGTGTCTCCCTCATTAGATAAAATGAATATGGACAAAACAAAGATCATGTTTAATGTCCATGTCATACCTAAGCTAGTAGTTGTGCTCTCACATCTATGCTCGAAGTTGTTGACGAGTATGTTTACCTGGGACAAATAGTCCGACTAGGTTAGTCCAACTTCGACATTAATTGACGGATTCAACTAGGCTGGGTGGCGTTCGGAAGATTAAGACACATCTTCTCGTGAGGTATACCTCAAAATCTGAAAACAAGATTTTACAACCAGTGTGTGTTGCCAATGATGATTTTCGATCTGTGAGTTATGCTCTGAGACGAGATCCTTTCCTGGTAGCCGCATGAGAAAGCTCAAGGTCGCTGAGGGAGCGACGGAGAGGGCTATGCTCGGGGTATCTCTGTTTTATAGACTTAAAGATATCAGATATCTGCAGTAGAACCATCGTAATTGACATAGCCCCAATAGATTAGTAAGCTAAAGTGACAATGGGCCGGCTATATAACTCGAAGAACTGACAACGGATGGGAAAGAAAGTTTCTCGAGTGGCAGTCTAATACCAGTAGGCGAAGTGTAAGGCGGCCCCCTCACTACATGAAGTGACGACCTGGTAATACATGCAGGAAGTCGATGTATGCAGATGGCCCAGGATCATGCTTCGTGGCATTCCTTGATGGAGGACTATGTTTAGTAGTGGACTTGTGAAGGTTGGTAATGAATGAATGATGTTTATACTTTTCTCTTTATGAAATATACATTTATTTAATTCATTTACATTTAGGTTTTTTTAATTGGTTTGATTGGTTTACTTGACCATTGTTATAATTAAAAACATTACATTTTAAGATAACTTCAATTATATAAAAGAAATTTCATTTGTCATTGGCTTTTAGGGAAGCTATATATATGCTAATAACTAAAAAGAAATACTTATTTAACACTAGCAAAACGGGAGGGATTTAAAAAAAGTTTAAGTTGAAATAACTTTATCATTATTGGTTTGGTGTTCTGTAGAAAATGTCTCAGCCAATAGTGAGAAAAAAATATTGGCATTATTGCAATCTCTACCAGAAGATCAATCAGATTGTCAATGTGAAAGTGTACCACTGCCACAAAATAAAAATAGTGATCCCTATACTCCTGAATAAAGTTCTATTGATGATTCAGAAGACATTGAGCACATTGTTATGAGACTAGTGGAACCTTTCCTGAGTGAAGTTATAAATGTGACAACAGACAACATTTTTAATCTGTATTTTTCGCACAATATTTGTTTACATACATAGCATACAACTCTTTGATGCTGTAAATAAGGTTAGATTTGTATGAGACTAAAGCTTAGAAAACAGGAAATGGCCAGTGCTTAGTGACAGTTTATCAAATAAAGAGAAGCAAAAACCAAGCCAATTTGACTTCCTTCAATCGTTAACATTGTCTTGTCTTTATATTTAAAATTAATACATAGAAAACTATCAAAATAAATGGTTATGACTTAATATTGTATCATTTTAATAATGAAATCAACAGTAAGTCACATGGCAATCTCGTTACTTGTCATTGATTTCATTAATTTTATAGTTTTCTATTAACATTAAGGATGTTGCAATTGTATGAGTGCAACCACATATATAAACTATGTAATTAAAAAAAAAACAATGTATAGAGGAGGGGTTGCTAGGTAAACAAGGCACACCAAACCTAATCATTAAAAATGTTGCTATAGATCCTATGATTTAAACAACCGCTGTGGCGCTTAGCGCCCGTTCAAAGAGAATGTCAACTTTTTTTTATCAGCGAAGCCGGCAACCCGAACATGGTTGTACCGAACTAGGCCCCCTTGTCACATGTGTTTTTGGTGGGAAATATAATATAGATCTTATCTATGCACATATAGAAACTTTGTGTTTATACTTGGCCTAAAGGTCTAGATGCCAGGCCATAAACTCCAAAAAAAAAAAAAATTTTGTGTTTATACATGTAAAGTGGAGGTGGGCAAAGTGTATCATTTTTGCGATTGGAACATTTGCATCTTGATCACTGAAATGTTCCGAAACACTGATATGTTTCATTTGTCTCATTTGGATCATCGACTCAAAAGATATAAAAGAAAGAATGTTCCGAATACATTAAGTTGCGTCGCGGGCGTTTATTACTGACTGATCCGTGAAATGTTATGTGGCAACAATTCTGAATAATATAAGTGCTTAGATTATTTATTGTGTACCGTAATAAGATTGTATATAAAATCCATTGTCCTTCATACTTTAACAAAAATGTCACTATGTCAATTCATTATTTACAAAAATGTCCATTTACACAAAACAGCAATGTCTATGTACACAGAATTTACTCGTAAAGTAGCATAACTCTAAACTTTATGATGTAAAGGAAGAAAGTAAAGTCACAATAATCACTACGCAAAGAAATCCTAAACGTAACTCAGTATGTTTCGTAAACAGGCGCTAATGAATATAAACAATTTGACAAGTGCCGCATCAACGTAAAATGACAACTTGTTAATGCAAACATTACATACAAAAAACGACCGTATAGTATTAGACACATAAGCGCCTTAGTGGTAATTTTTAGGTGCATGTATAACGTCAGCGAAAATCTGTACAAGTTGAGTAATACATTTCTTATTTGTTATCTCTATCTGACTTGTGTGGATTATAATTATTTCGCCCGCTCACTCGCCACTCGTGAGTCAATAGTTAAGTTAATCATTGTCTCACTCTGTCTCTCTCGCTCGTGGCTCAGTCGCCTCGCAAGCGACGCGTCGCGCGAAATGAGCAAAGAGCAAAGTAATGTTTCACTGTTCCAGATCCAAATGATACATTTGAAACGTTGTTACTGAACCAATCTTTTGTGTCACTTCAGTGATTCGTATCAGTGAGTCGTTTCCGTAAAGAGATACACACGCTTAATGTAAAGTGCACATGATGCACTTTCTTGTTTTTAATAGATGTAGTATATTATAATAGGTATAAACTGGAAATCCAATTTTTTTTCCTTTTGTTCCTATAAATATGGCCTATTATTCATCTGATTAAATAAACAAGAGGCTAGATTTTAATAAAATGCGCTTAGGCCGTTTTTGGAGGTAAGCTGTTTTTCACGTCTTGCTAGTGTTTACGTGTCTTCAATCTTCCTACCACAATAACATGCACATCTCATAATGACAGTGTAAAATATAATGATCCAAGATATTGATATATTATATTAATATCTTGGCTGATTATATTTTATACTGTTCTGCCCAAATTTATAATTGAAACAAACATGGGCCAAATTGTATTTTTCCAGAATAGGTACTGTTGTGATATTTTTAACTTTATTATATATTATAAAACTATTATTTATTCTATTGTTATTAGTGTATCAGTGATTGGACAGTTAAAAATCTATTATTTTAAAGTATGTGTTATAACACATACATTAATTATATTTGTATAATATACACTGGATTGTCACTCGCTCATCCTAAACTTTCCGTGCTCGATATAAGCGCTTATACGATGAGATCGAAAGATAGGCGAGAATGCAGTGCCAGACATACGGGAACAATAATAACACCACCCAATTCAAAAATCAACTGTTTGTGTTTTTCCCGCAAGTGCTGGATAGGACTGACTTTCTATGTTCAAGCCAGGCTTCTTATGGATGCCATACACGATCCACTTTACCGTCAAGGTTGCATGATGCGGCATTAGTTGAAACCATGGCGTCTCTCGCTTATTTGCTCTGACTACCGTCATGCATACTTGACCGCTCATACACATCTTTAAGTTTACATGACGTTACAAACTTGATTAAGTCGGCAGAATCGAAATTCAATTTTTGCTTCAAGTAGTTTTATGCGTGGTAGAGCCATGCTGCAGCTATATTAGTAGTATAGTTGTAGTACGAATGGGTCGGCTTGACCGGGGAAGGACCACGCTTTCACAGAATACCAGCGTAAAATGGCAGCTTGACACTACTGTGTTTCATATGGTGAGTGTAGAGAACCGGAGACCCATTTTACTGGAAACGAGGCATACCATCTTAGTCGTCACGGGTGACGACGCATCTCCATTTTGATTCTTCATTGAGGATAATATATGTCTATGGACCTCGGCATTCACTTACCATCAAGTGGACTGTGTGCTCGTTTGTCACCCTTATTCTATAAAAAAAAAGTAGAGTTGTCATGCACACTGACCGGACGCCGCTTCAAGCGCGCTGCAAACTTGACGGTAAACTGGATCGTGTATGGCAACCATTAGCAGTTTGGCCACGCGGTCGCCAATTTCGTTTAGCAGCACTATCTAGTGATGAGGCAGGTTAACCTAAGTCGTGTATGTTGTGCATACTATGAAGCATTTTTGCATTTATCCCTTTGCCGGGTTATGGTTATCAGCCAAGTAATGTTTAAATTATATAAGATATATTTTTAACTCAGTTTTGGGTTATAAACCTTGTTAAATAAAGTCTTTTTGTTTAATCAAAAACAGTTGCAAGATATTTTATTTTTTTTTAATTCGGTTACGTGCATTTATATGAGTCAGAGTAATTTATTTTGACCTCTCGCCAGAGAGTAGTATGTTCCTTGATTTGACAGACAAAAATGTAGTGTTGTTCGCTAGCAAGAACAATATAGAAAGTATTAAAAAATAGACAAGTTAAGTTCTTTTAATTTAAGACAGCATGATCTTTATTTTGTGATTGTTGGAGCAAGTGCAATTTAAGATAATAATATGTGCTTATTTGCCTAGTCTTTATTTTATATTAAATCGTAAATGTAGTAATGGATGTTAAAGATTTGCCTATCATTGTAAGCAAAACAATACTTAACATGCATGTATATTTTTTTGTCATAATAAATGTTAAAATTGTTCCTTTATGTAGCACTCATAATTTATTGCTTTTAAATGATATAGTAGATACATAATGTAAGAAAAATCGGAATTTGGAGTCCGACCGAAGCTTCCGCTTCAGCCACCTTCCACAATAAGAGCACCTTCGGTCGAAATCTACCTAAGGTATTTACTTACTACAAATATGCGATAAAACTGAAGTTTTTATACATAGTTGGAAAACAATATTTTTAAGCATCGTTGATATAAGTGATAAAAAATGACCAAATCTATACTTATAGTTCAAAATATTACGTTTTTTAATCTATGAGATAGATTCCAAACTAATTAATACTGTTATTATCATTATTTTATTTTATTTCTTTGCTAAATATTAAAACAAAAATTTATTGTATAATTAATTATTCTTGTTTCAATTAATAAATAATTAATTTAAATAAAGGGATTTTTCGTATAATTGAAATAATTGCAGATGTGGAGTTATTCGTAATTTTTATACAAAATTGCTTAGGTATATAAAATAATGTTATTTTAACACACGGAATAAATAAACGCGGAATTTGCATTGTTATCATTTTTAGCTAGTGTTAGAATAAATTCTAAGCACAAACCTTTGGTTTCGACCGAAGCAAGTATCATCTATAGACCGAAGGTTATAGCAGAACCTGAGCGGTCGTCTCGGTCTCGGTCGGACATTTTGTAACATAATTATGAAAGGCAATTAATACAAACTCAAACCTAACGATAACTATAATACCTATTTATATGTGTCCCTGTATCAGCTATTAAGTCAAAATTAAAATATATTTAACTTTTTGTTACTCATTGCATGTAGTGTGGATTATTTTCTTACTTCTAAAATCTTTACAATTTAACAAAAATCTGATAAAATAGTGTAACAAGTCGTATAATAATATAATATTGAAAACGTTTCAAACTTAGAATTATTAGTAATATTTATTGAAATGTGTGTTGGTAATATTAAAATGTATATGTATAGTAATGTATATGCATTCATAAATAAATAAAATTATAGTGTGCATGTGTTGATATTTTGGCTTATTTTACCTTATTGACAGATTTAATCCTCGTAAATTTAATTTTTTATAAAAGTGTAACATTGTTAAAAGAAGGATTTTATTTAAAAAAAATAATAGCGCTTTTTTAACAAGAGTGAAGAAAAAGAAATTCCAAAAAGGGTAGTCAATTCATCGAACTAGTCACGTCTCCTCATTTGATATGTTCCCTTTAGCGACCCTGCTACTATTAGTTCGCTGACGTTAGACTAATATTTTACTATCTACAGTTAATATTAACACTTTTACTTTTCGATTTTCACACACAACAGTAAGATAATAGCAATGAACTATATGTAATACATGGGACAGCGAAAAGGTTAATATATAAGCCATGTGGGCCTCTACATCACAGGGACTTTATCTAATAAAGTCTAGCAGGGTTTCCAGTGTTTTTGGGAAATTATATTATTATTAGAGTTAGTACAGCACCGGTGTAGGTCTTCATTATCTAATAACATATTTTACTTAGTTCCAGCCTATATAAGTCCCACTGATGGGTACAAGCCCACTCCTTTTTCCCTAGAGGGTCGCTTCCGATTCGGCAGAAAGGCCACACAAGCCAATGTCAGTCTCACAGGTGGTGTTTAGTGGGTAGGCACTTAGGTTTCGCAGTGAGTCCCACATAACCACGCAGCCGCCTGTCGTAGCATGCTTAGAGCATTCACCACCTCCCTCCCCCGCTTCCCGGAGTGTAGCCTTTTTCATTGCTTCTGGGCGCAAAAAAAAAGGTACAGCTCTCACATTTTAGAAAGGTTATTAATATTTTGTATTAGTCCGCCGCACTGCTATTGACGTACTTGACATGTCCTCGAAATATTCCACAGACATGCAGGTTTCTTAATTGAATATAACTAATTTCAACGCGTTCAATTTTAACTTCCATAATTCCGGACGTTTTGGGCGCTTCAATGCACCCATAGTCACAAGGGACTGAGGTGTTTGGCATTTTTGAACGCATTATTTTTCCGCTTTCCAAGATCATCGAAAGACATTAATTTAATTTATTATTGTTTATCTATAACAAACGAAAATTGTTTATCTGTGAAATAGTAGTGTCAGTACCTACTTATTGTTTCCGCCGTGTGGTGGCAGTGTGCTGCTGCATGCATGCTGTCGTAATAAGCGTCTATCGGAAATGGCGTGGTAGAAGCAATGCTGCAGCAATAGTATAGTTGTAGCACGAATGGATCGGCTCGGGCACACGGGGAAGGACCACACTCACATATTATCAGCGTAAAATAGCAGCTTAATGCTGCTGTGTTTCGTATTGTGAGTGTAGAGAACCAGAGACCCCATTTTGAAAAGTGGATAACATTGTAAATTGAAATTTCTTGCAGTTGTTATATTATACACTCTGAGAGAATAATAATGACAATACAATGTTTGTTAATTAAGCAGTTTATTAACTTTTCATAAGCACATAGTTAATACAGTTTAACATAAATGAAATGCAGAAGTCTTAACATTAATAAATTGTAACTATTTTGAAGTAAATTAAAAGAATAGGCGTTATATAGTAAGATACATAAGTAATATGATTTAACTTTTGTTAATCAACCTTTAAGACTGCTCATACCAGCTCTCATAATTTCATCCACAAGGAGGAGGTTGCTGGCTATAACGGAGCAAGAATTGATGATTTGCTTTTTGACAACATAATTATCTAAAATACCCAAATCTGCCGGTTTGATTGCTTCACCTGTGCTCAAATCTAAGCCAACTGGATCAGGACTCAAACGTGACTCTTCTTGCAGTTTAACAATTGTATCTTGAGCATCATAGCCAGAGTTAACAGCGAGCATTTTAGGTATTATGAGCAGTGCCTCTGCGTATGCCTGAATACCAAGACGGGCTTTGCCTTTCACAGAGTCTTTGTATTTTTGGAGTTCCATATTGGCTTTAATTTCAAAAGCTCCTGCGCCCGGTATTACCGCCTTATCTTCAATTGCATTATTGACGGCACGCAGGCCGTCACGAACAGCGTCTTTTATTTGGGCCAAGGTGTGCTTGTTTGGGCCCTTAATGAGGATAGTCACAGACTGGGGATTTTTGCATTCCTCTACAAAAGTGTATTTCTCCTCGCCGAGAATATGTTCATACACTAATCCAGCATACCCAAGGCAGTCTTCAGTAAGGTCATCCACTGAATTCATTGCAGATCCACCGCAAGCAAGGGCCAAACGCTCCATGTTACGTCTCTTCGCTCTACGTAGTGCAATAATACCCTCTTTTGCGAATGCATCCAGAGATAGAGGATCAATACCTTTTTGGTTGATAACCACAAATGACTTTTTAGTGCCGTCGCAAACTTTCTTTTTCAAAGCAATAATCTAAAAAAGAAATTAAATTTTGAACAATTTACAAAATTAAAACCAGTTCTCTAGAGCCACCAAACAAAGAGCACTTGTTTTTAAATTAAGTCTTTTGACAAATATTTTTGTATTTATATTGCTTTAGTACACCTATATAGCCTTTGTTTGAGGTAGGTAGCAGGTGAGAGGATACTGCAGTCCCACATTGTTCATGAACCATCAAGTGGACTGTTAGCTAATCAATGCAATGTTATAAAAATAGTTAAAAAATTTTCAACAGCAATACCTCAATGAAATTCAAGGGGCCACAACTTAAAGTGAATACATATAACTAAGAGGTAAAAGCCCGAAGTAATTTTACCTTTTTAACCCTTTGATCAATAAAATCTCTCTCAGCAGCAACAAGCTTCTCCCTGTCCTCGGCAGTTTTATAGAAGAAGCCAGAATTAACAGTTGTCTTTTCATATTCAAGGGACACATTGCAGGTAAGGATGTAGGCGTTCTCAACGCGTTTCGGCATGTCGGGGTGACGAGCACCGTGGTCCATTACAAGACCTAGAATTAAAATTTAGAACAGAATAAACAATAAATGATTATTTCAAATAAAAGTTATATAGAAAAAGCATCAATATTCATCACATTTACATGTTAAAATTATTCCTTAATCCACACTGCACATGGAACATGACAGTACAAGGTAAAACAACCAGTGAAAACTTAAAACCGACCACGGAATGTGAATGTGTTAGAGCAGAAGAGCTCTACCGAAGACCACATTCTGCTACACAGTGGTTTTAATTTTGTCGTAAACTAACTAATTACACAGTGGGTTGGTATTAGTTTAATCCCAAGTTGGTGGTAGTTAAAAAAAAATATCAAGCATAATACAGTTAGGCATCAAATAAAATTGATTTGGAGACAATATTATCAATAATTCCCTTACGGAATCAATCTATCAGGAAGACCTAAATTCCAAAATTCAGAAGTGGACTTTAGATATAGAGCTGAGCTTTAGAGATAGAGCAGTAATTCATGTATGTTAAACGCCTCCATGATACAGGAGAAAATGAGTTGTGATGATTTTTTTTTAAAGTAGACAAAAAAATATATTTCAAAAAAGACTCAAATATTGTATCCACTACAACAACTCCCAAATGTGAAGTGAGAAACAAGTTGAAAACTATATTTGTTTCTGACTTACTCCTAAAAATGGGAAAGGTAAGTGAGGAAATCATGAGTTTCATTGTGCACACACAGTGTTGTGAGTGCCATTTTTTCCTAAATCAATATACAAATATATCTATTACCTCTTATGAGTGTGGATTCAGTGGCAGATTTGTGTTGCATCTCCATCAGTTCAATCATGTGGAGATCAACTGGCTTATCTGGGGTACGAATAGCCAATACAGCATCTACACATGCATCTGTGAGTATTTCAGCCAGCTTGGCATGAACCTGTAATATTCAACATATAAGTTTGAAAACATAATAAAATTTATGTAGTAGTAGTTAAATTCTAAATTATATTATCATTATCTTATATATATCTGAATTTAAATTTCTCATTAATTTGTAGTTCAAAGTTGAATGAAACTAATACATCCATCAGACCATGTTCCATTCTGTCTACTTTGGCCAAAATTATCAAATCAAGGGAGCAGTTTGAGAGGGTCATAAGTAACAGATTAAAAAAAGAAAAACGTAAGCCTCACAAAAGCAACTACGCAGCAAGCAAATTAAATATAAACTATTGGTAAATCCAATTGTGCATGCCTTAAGGGCATTAAAAAAATTACATATAACATGAAGTTTTTAAAGTAATTTAATTACACACAAGTTTTCACTAAAAACCTTACAATTATTACTATAATTCAAATTTTCCGATAATTTTATGTGAAATTTCATTTCAAAAATCCAAAAGTGCACGACTTATAATGCTCCTATGATTGTGAAAAATTAAAAAAAATGTAAATTGTAATTCTATTTGTCAGAGTTCCAGTAGTAGTCATCGAAGTAGAAGAAGTCAGGTCATTCTAGCAAGTCTGGAGGTAAGGTCTCATCATAACTAAAAAAACGAGGCCAAACTTGGCACACCTAGTTCTACTCTTCGAGGATTTCCATTAGCATTCACCGAAATACACCTTCAGGTTATTTATCAAGTCCGGAAGTAAGGTCTCATCATAACTAACAAAACGAGGAGGTAACAAATAGACGTATCATCATCATCATTACAGCCCTTCACAAGTCTACTGCTAAACATAGTCCTCCCCCAAAGAATGCCACAAGGCACGGTCACGAGATATCTGCAACCAATGACTTCCTGCATGTCTTACCAGGTCGTCACTCCTTCTAGTGGGGGGACGCCCCACACTTTGTCTGCCTGTAGGTAAAAGTATATTTATATATAAATCCAACGTACTTTTAGCGACAAAATGCGCGATCAAATTTGGTTTTTGGAATATTTTGTATTTCTACAGCAATCAATATTTTTGCTACCTATTACCGCTGCTGTAAGCAAACGTTACAGCAATCCACTCACGACGGCAGCCGAGCTCGGAGTAAGAAGAGTAGAGAAAAGTATATTTAGTAAAATAAATTAATACAAGGCTGTTAAAACACCGAAAATTTCGAGATTTCGCAGTCGAAATAAATAAATTATATCCAAACAAAACAAAATTAAACTGCCATTCACATTCCATGGCTCCCCACATGATAGATGAAGAGATTAAAAAATTGATTAGAGTTAAACAATAGATATTTTCAAAAGTTATCGTGTTTACCGCTCCATGCGGACTTGATAAATCTACACCATAAGCCACTAAAATCACTTTTTTAATGTAAAAATAGCAATTAATCAATTAAAAAAAAAATATTAATGAATTCAACAATCATTTATCTTTATGACAATGTGCGTTTTATATAATTTATATGTTCAATATGACTGTTAGATACGACTTTATGCGATAAAACATTGGAATCTTGATTTTTAGGCGCTAGTAGAACATACCTACGCACTTTGCGCTTAAGGCATGCAATATTAATTATTGAATAAAACTAATTTTATGGATTTTATCACGGAATATAAAAAAACAAGAGGAAGCCCAAAGTGGGCGGTGCAGGCGAGTCAGAATTAGTGGCAGGAGAGCGTAATTGACTGTCAGTCGCAGGCTCAAATTATTACGAGCTGACGGATCGCTGCTTAAGTGATATATGCGAAAATATGCCGTTTTGGGCAATATTGGAGTCTAAAACCGAAAGTAAAAAGTATTTTGAATGGAGGTGTTTCGTACCAAAGGCACATGTAATTTTTTTCCTTTTTTGGATAGAAACTTGACTAAACATGGACAAAATATTAAATTGCTTTTATTACAAGTAATATTATTTCGTTATACTACGGTTTATCTGTGAATAAATTTTAAATAAAAATAACTGCGATAGTGTTGTGACTTCGCCGATATTAAAGTTATCGATAAAATTTTATCAGTCTTGTTCATTCACAACATATTAATGAAAATTTGCAAATACTGGATGTCTATGAAAATATACGAAATTATAGGGTAATACCCTATAAATGAACTTTTGTTAGGGATGCAAAGCCAGAGAAGTAAGTAAGTAGTTTAGTAATACACACGACTTTTGGAAAGAAGCTGAAATAAAAGTGATCTTAATATCACGATCTACATTAGTGTCTGAATTAATTATCATCTAATCTTTAATATTAAAGTGTGAAAACGATAACAATTGCAAAATTATTGTTTTTTTTTATTATTTTCCTTGTTTCCATTTCATAAACGATAATTTAGCTACCAATCAATAAATTTCCATTAAAGACAATTAATTATATGCCGGCTATATGAATTACGGGGATATACGTAATACATTTTGAATTTTACTCATTTTATCATATTTTTTATCATAATGATTTCTTATATCAATAATATAATTTTCAATTCTGTTTCTTCAGTTCTGTCATTTCATATTCATGATAGTAATTATATACTGAATATCGATATAAGCCAGATAATTTTCAGGGAGAGTAACTACATCACTAACATCATTCACGTAGCAGTATAGGTTAGGTAGGGAAATGTCAACGTTATATCTATTGGCATTGTGTCTCTATAATAGTGTGAATTTATTATTGCGACATCTAACGTAGCTTATTAAGCTAAATTTGCTCATTAATTCTAGAAACTATGTTGATGAAAACTATTACGATCTCTATTTTCAAGGACATATGGTTCGTACTAAGTGAATGGTGAGTAACATAATGCCATTCTCTTTTAGTTTTTAATAGCCAATCACACAAAAATTATTGAAATTGTACACAATTGTCAGTACACATTTCTTTCTTGCGTATGGGTGAGTTTGGCGACAGTGCTTCTGCTATAAATTATGCGTTTTGCTACTTCCTCTTGTTTTTTATATTCCGTGGATTTTATGTTGTTTTATTTTATTTTTCATTCCTGACATTTGTTGGCTAGTCATAAAAAACTAAGATTATTAAAATTGATACCTTGGTTTTAAGGGATGTTCGAGCAACATCAATTAAGTTCTCTCTTTTTATTTCAATAGATATTTTGATAGACTCTAATACTTCCAAGGCCTTGTTACGGGCAACATCAAATCCTTCTGTTAAAATTCTTGGGTGTAAACCTGTGAACAGTAAGATACAAGATAATCTATAATTATAAATTTAAAACAAAACATTCAACATTCACTAATATATCAAGGGTCAATTGGTTCAGGCCAATAACTTTCAACTGTATAGAAAGATTATTTATTGTACCACTCGTTCAGTTAAAAGTAGCAAGAAAATCAGCACAACTTTTTTCACAGTACACAGCATAGTAGTGATCAAATCATTCCTAAATCCTAATTGATAGTATTAACAACCTTTGCTCAGTAATTTTTTTTAACTTGTGCTTGTTCCTAGTATTAACTAAATGTAATTGTTCTCATCACTTTTACAGCATATGCTGAAGAAGCAAGTTTGCTAGATAGTTTAGATATATGGAGGTCTTACCAAAGCTTTGCATCAACTGTAATTCTCAGAAATATTGGTTCAATAAGACTCAGCCCCTCCACATTTAAAAGCACACTGGTATTCATCTGTTTAACATTGGGTGTTGTGAATTTAATACATTTTGTTTTATTACTGTTCAAAAGCAAATTGTTGACTTTAACCCAGTGCCTTACAACCCATTGTTTGAAAGATTCAAACAATTTTGGCACAAATGGAACAATGGAATGACTTGCAAGCTTTGTGGCATAGTAGCATTGAGTTGTAAGGCTGAAGGCTGCAGGTTTGAATGCTGCATAAAACAAGTATTTATATATGGCCTACAAATAATTGTTCTAGATTGGGATGTTTGAGTAATTTATGTATGAGGGGGTAAAGTTCTTTAGAGGAAGAACATTATTATCAAAATTATGTATTAAATAAATAAAAGTATTTTAATTGTTATTAACAATAGACTTTTACATATCTTAGCAGTAAAGAAAAGCAGAGAAAACCTGCATGTCTGACAAATTAAAATATTTCTGGATTATGTGATGTCTCCCAGAATGAAGAGAACAGCATGGGAAAAACTGTTGAAAAACCTTCAAAAAATTTCTGTGACAAAGTAGTTACTGTACATTTTACTTTTAATAAAAATGTTGCTTGATATTATTTCTTAGTTTCTGAAGGGAAAAAGAATATATAAATCATAAAGTGAATCTTATAAGTTTTATTACATTGCAGGATCTTTTTATTTTTTATTTATTATAAGCCAGTGTTTGACCACAATCTTTCACAAGCCTTATATTTCTTTCTACATACATTAATTTTTTTGGCATAGGTTGGTTTGCCAGCCACTAAATACACCTTGTAAGCTTTTGACTATGCTTAGAAACTGTATGTAATACTAAAAGTAAAAGCATATACATATGAAGTTTGTAGACCCACTATCCCTTTATTGTAGTCATACCATACTTAAATGTTACTTGTGTGCCACAACCAAACAGTTTACTTCATTTGTAATATGTACATGTGGATGTAATAATGTGGTGTGCAATAATTTACCAGTCTCTCCATCCAATTACAATGTCTTCACGGCAGGAGTGGGTTATAGGGTGGATGCTCCTAATACCAGCCATGCCCCTAATTCCAGCCTTTTCGCCTATTTGCTTCGTAAATAAGATTTCTATTAGTCTTAACTACAAATATTGTCACCTAAAAAATTCTTCGTAACTAAAGGAAAGTATATTTCAAATACTACCTCACAGTTTTAAACCTAACAGTGTTACATTAAAAATCAAAACACGTATGTGATGGAAAACGCTCATTTTCCTAATTTTTTGACAAGTTTGATTTTCCGGGACCATATCCCGGTAAAATCATGCTTACTTTACATTATCTCATATACAGGCTTTTTGGTTTGTATGAGTATGACTATAGACATAGTAATGCAGTTATTTTTGTTAGAATTTACAAGTTATTTATTTTCTTTTACTGGAAATTAATGAGACTGTAATTAGATATACGAAATGTATGGAGTGCATAATGTCAGCCGCCCGGCTGTTTTTTGGTTTGACGTAACTAATAAGAAGTACCTAATTTCAGCCACGTAATATAAATCAGGGCTGTCATAAACTGGAATAAATACCATTAACTAGATCATAACTTATTTTATAGTTAAAGGAGTTATGATCAATTCCTCTGTTTCAAAATTGGTTTTAGATTTTGAAGTTTAGCAAAAGAAGTACTAGCTTTTCTATCAGACATTTGGTGTATATTAAGGACACCTTATGTATTCAATTATTTTTTGAGAGAGAAGAAAAAACAATCAATAAATATAGTATATATAAGCAAAAATTATAACTTAGTAATGCTAATTACAACTTAGAACATAAATGAAAAACCCATGACAAGGAAAGTGGTTTAGGACCAGGCTTTGCGGCAGTCTATGGAGGAGGATGTTCCGTAGTAGACTTGTGTAAGGTTGTAATGACAATGATGATTTGAAAACTTTGATGATTAAAATTTGCTTTAATATATTGCACAGCATTAAACTAAAACACAGTAAGTTAAGTAGTAAAACATTAAAATTAAATAATGTTGTCATCAGCCTTAATACATATCCCATGCTTGTCACATGCAGATTCAAAATTAAAAGTTGTTACGAATTTATTACTGTACCTCTAAAATTTACCTGCAATAGGTACTTACCAAAAACTCAAAAGGCACAAAACCCTATCCTATGCTGGCATTAAGGACACAAAAGGACGACATTCGGTACAGTGGCTGGAATTTGAGCCATAACGACTTTTTTTGCCTATCATCAATGTTAAAATTGTTCTTAAAATAATATAATTGTAAATAAATATTCATTATATTTTTAGATAAATAACCTATCTATTAAAACAAGTGTTTAAAAATATTGTGCCCTAATTAAAATAGCAGGAATTTGAAAACTTAACCATCTTCTGCTACATAACCCAATTTTAAATCTTGATCTTATGAAATGCAACATTTTAAAATTTTTTAGTTTTCAAATACTTACCTATTGTAATATACATAAATAATCACTACTTAAATTACCTTCACTAATATAAATTTCCGCTTGCTTCAGCAATTCTCCAATTAGTAACACTGTTGATGTAGTACCATCACCAGTAGCATCATCTTGTGCTGTAGATGCACGAGCAATAAGTGATGCAGTTGGATGTTGTATCTGCATCTCATGTAACAACACATTACCATCCTTGGTAATCTTTATGTCGCCTGCGCCAGATACTAACCTATAATTAAAGAAAGTAGTTAAATTAATTCTTAATCCTCCTAAAATTCTTAACAAAATAAACAAAAGCTGAGGGTTGGGTTTAGAATCAATTTGCCTGAATTTAAGGAGTCTGTCACTGTGGGGAGGTCAAGGCGGCTTATCTCAAGCACCCTTATGCAATTTTAGTTACCGGAGCTGTGTCGAAATATTTAAAATCATTTTCTAAAAATAATCATAAATCATTAATTAATACATGAAATGGAACTTAAATTACTCTAAACTCTTAATGGGACACACACAAAAAATTGAGTCACAATGGAGAGCCATGAAGCATTTTTTTTAAAGATAATTACAAAAACCCAAGGAATTTTGGTGATGCGATAGTGGAGTACTTGGGGAGGCGGAACATGAAATATAATAAAGATCCATTTTTGAAAATGATGGAAGTAATAAAATATGTTTACTTATTAAAATAATTATAAAAGAACGAATGAAGCAAGCTCGGTACTTGGAGCATCCCGACTCGGACAGGTTAGGTTAGAAGGGGATGGTGGGGTCGAGTGAGCGAGCGAACAGACCCCTCCATCCCCTTTGTGTTTATTTTCAAATACACTGATATTATTTCGGCGGAGGTGGGACGCCATCCCTTCCCTATTAAAGCAATTTTTCTCAGAAATCATTCAATAAAAATTTTAATCTTCAACATTTATTATGGTACGACTTTCCATTGACGTCCGTCGAGTTTGGTGTTGATACATATTTTTACAGAAAGATTACATTTTTATAAGCACACACACAAAGTTTCAATATGCGGAAACATGTACTTTTTGAGAGAAAAGTATTGAAAATCAAATATTTTTGCAATATTTATGTCAATTCCTACCTACTATGAAACTGACGCCATTTTTTACGAGGGTGGATTGAAAAGTACTCGGCCTAACCAAGAAAATAAACACATACTAAATCAGTTATATTTTTATTTTTCTACATAATCACCATCAAGTTCAATACACTTTTGCCACCTCCCCTTCCAAGCATTTAGACCGTTGAAAAAAAAATGATTCTTCCTTAGAGTCAAAATATGCGTCTACAGCTGCTTTGACCTCGTCGTTTGTCGAAAATCTTTGACCTCCCAAGTGCTTTTTTAGGTTAGGGAACAGAAAGAAGTCTGATGGTGCCAGATCAGGTGAATACGGCGGATGCGGTAACAGTTCAAAGCCACAGTAGTGAATTTCAGCCATTGACTGTACTGACGTGTGAACACGGGCGTTATCTTGATGAAACAGGACTTTTCTTCTGAGCATTCCTCGACGTTTTTCTTTTATTTCCTCTCGTAAACGACGTAGTAAGGTGCAGTAGTAATCAGAGTTTATATTCTGACCCCTTTCAAGATAATCAATCATAATCACACCTTTCGAGTCCCAGAATACTGAAGCCATCACCTTATTTGCCGACAAAATCGACTTAGCCTTTTTAGGGGGTGGTGAACCAGGTCTTCTCCACTGTTTTGATTGTTGTTTTGTTTCCGGTGTACAGTAATGAACCCATGTTTCGTCAAACAGTCGCGTGAAATAGTCAATCACGTCCTTTTTTGTTCAACTGAAAGCAGTCGCGAAACCCACCTCGCAGACACCTTGTGGAAACCCAACTCGTTGACAATGATGTTTTGAGTTCGTTCATAAGAGATGCCTATAATCTCGGCTATCTCTCTAATTTTTAATCTGCGGTCTCCCATTATTAAATCAAGTACTTTTTTAATATTTTCGTCAGTAGTTGACGTCGAAGGCCTTCCAGAGCGGGGTTCATCTTTCACACTCTCTCTACCACGCTTAAATTCTGCTATCCATTTTTTGACGAATGAATATGACAGAGCACAATCGCCTAATGTACTGACCATGTCATCATGGATGGCTTTTGATGATAGCCCCTTCTTATGGAGGTACTTAATGACGGCACGCTGCTCGATTTTCTCCATTCGCGGAAATTATGTCCGATTACTTTGTTAATAAATTTATAAAATCACAACTAATTATCGCACACGTTTCGAACTTCACACAATAAACTAGTCTGAACTGAACTAAATAATGTGGGTAGATTTGATTTTTAGAATTGAATGGATCTGTGTTAGGCCGAGTACTTTTCAATCCACCCTCGTATTATTGTCAGTAGAGATGTCGATTCTTTCCGAAAAAGATCGAGTTTTTAAATAGATTCGAATTGTAAGCTGATGTATCGATTCCCAAAAAATCGATTTCTAAAATATCTATATTTTTTCATGTTTGCATTTATAATGTAAATATAAATCCATTTTATGAGAAAAAAATTCCCTTCGTCATAAAAAAATAAGGGGACTGATTCAGAAGGATTTCTGTATCTATTTTGAGACTGCTACGTCTCCGGCGCTGCGGGAAGAACAGCCTCTACGCCTTAGCTTAACAAATCGCAGGCATCCCTCCTCGCCTCCACAGCTACAGTTACAGTAGGCAGAGGCTGCTCCCCCTACGCGCCTCCGGCTCTAGTTTAGTTTAGTTTACGACGGGCTGTTTTCCGCAACTCCACGTCTATGCGCGTATTTTGCGTGTGGGCAGGAATAATGTGATTATTCGAGCCATGAGATCTCTCCGAAGAAGCTCAACAGGCCCTTGATGTTGCATGCAACTTCGGGGAGTGATCCCAGCGTGCCGAGATGTTTAGCCCTGTATGTAGCGACCTCCGGACATTTCAGTAGCACGTGGGCCGCCGTTTCTTCCTCCCCCATACATGCCCTGCACAGGGGACTATCTGTAACACCTATAGTAAATAAATGTTTGTTAAAGGTGCCGTGTCCTGTGATAGCACTTGTTACTATCCTAATCTGCGGCTTGTTCAGTCTCATTAAAACTTTTGTTAAGCGACTGTTAATTTCAGGCAGGGCATCCCTAGCTTGTCTACAGTCTACTAGATTTTTCCAAAGCTGAGCGTGTTGATTAGTGAAGTGTCTACGTACCAGTGAACAAACGTTACCAAAGGGGATTGGTATGATTGGTTCCGGCCCTATAGTGGCCAAAGCCGATCCTCTTCTGGCAAGTTCGTCTGCTGCATCGTTGCCTCTGGATCCACTGTGTCCCTTTATTCATTGCAGGGTCACATTGTTGTTTTTACATACCACATTTAATCGTTGATGGCATTCATATATTAGTCCCGAGTTCACCACATTGCATCTCAGGGCTTGGAGTACCACCCTACTGTCGGTCAGTATTCTGATGGGGAAGTCATTAACCTTCCTAGCATCTATTGCTATGGCCGCTTGAATGATACCCATACATTCCGCCTGAAAGACCGTGTTATAGGTACCCAGCGGTGTGCATATGTGAATATTGAGGTCTTCAGAGAAAGCTCCACAACCTACACCTTCATTTGTTTTAGAACCATCGGTGAAAATTCTAAGCTCTTTTGGGCTTAATCCTTCCGGCTGGCTGTTTTCATTTAACTGTATCTTGTATTTCTTATCGAAAACAAATTGTTTAGGAATCCTATCGTATTTGGCTTGTAGGATAGGAATTTTTGAGTGAATTCTATCAATTATGCCTGTATGAGGGACACTATTCTTACTCCAAAGATTTAGGGTCTTGAGTCTGATGGCAGCTAAAGTCGCTTCTTGTTGTATATGTAGATGAAGCGGAGTTAGCTCCAGCATCGCTTCTAAGGCTGCTGTTGGCGTAGTTCTCATGCAGCCTGTAGCAGCCATACATGCCAGTCTCTGGTAGCGCTGAAGCTTTTTAATTATGGTGGCTTCATTTGTCTTGGTCCACCATACCAGAGCGCCGTATGTGATCATGGGCCGAATTACAGTTTTGTAAAGCCACAGTATGATTTTTGGCGTCAATCCCCATCTTTTGCCAATCATGTTTCTGCATTGCCAGAAAGTTATACTAGCTTTGTTGATTTTGTTTTCTATGTGTTTATTCCAGTTAAGTTTGCTGTCCAAGGTAAGACCTAACCGGCTCCGGCTCTATAAAATCACTCTAGGGGTAGGACATACTCGTACCAGGTGGAGTCGGGGTCAATCAATTCGGTTCTTTGACATAAGTTGAACCTAACCTATTTTATTTGTTATCTGCCCTAATAGGTACTGTTAAATAAAACAAATTTCATTAAGAGATCATTTATCATGGTATCATTCTTGTTTTTCAGAAAATGGGTTTATATTTATATTATAAATAGAAACATGAAAAAAATATAGATATTTTAGAAATCGATTTTTTGTGAACCGATACATCAGCTTACGATTTGAATTGATTTAAAAATCGACCTTTTTCGGAAAGAATCGACATCCCTATTGACGTCGACATTGACATTACAAAATGGCGCCAGTTTTACGGTAGGACTAGACATAAACATTGCAAGAATAATTCTTATCTTCACGCACAATCCCTGACGGGGTAGCCAGAGAGAACAGATCGCCAAGTGTCACGATCCTTACAAACCTCTTTCGCTTCTTTCAGATTCATTATCTTCTTCATGCATGCACGTCTAGGTATCCGAGTACTTTTGACCCTACCCTCTTCGAGCAATTTGCTCACATGGTCTTCGAAAGTTAGTCTCGGTCTACCTCGACACCTTTTAATATTAACTTTCGCGCTATATATTTTCTTCACCATTCGGTCTTCACTCATTCGCTCAACGTGCCCAAACCACCGAAGCACGCCCTTATCATGTAAATGAAAATGTATACTTGGGGAGTGTTTTAGCCGGGATGGAAGATGTGATTTAGATGTGGACAGGCGTGTCGCTGCCGGGAACAAAGTCAATGGTGCCCTGACTGCGTTAGTCAAAAGGCAAGGCGTAGCGAAGAGTGCACGCCTTGCAATACATAACGCAGTGTTGGTACCGACTTTGTTATATGGCAGCGAAACCTGGGTATGCCAGAAGAAGCATAAAAGTAAGTTGAATGCAGTGGAGATGCGATCTCTTCGTAAAATGTGCTGCGTTACCATGGCCGACCGAAAGCGAAACGAAGAGATTCGCTATTGCAGGCAGGTTTGAAAGATGACCTTATCACAAAAATTGATAAGGGCAAGAATAATTGATTTTCAATAATTCTTTTCTCAAAAATTACGCGTTTCCGCGTGTTGAAACTTTGTGTGTGTGCTTATAATAGTGTAATTTTTCTGTAAAAATGCGTATCAACACCCAACTCGACGGACGTCAATGGAAAGCTAAGCCTTTATTATAAATAAAATAGGCACGTTCGGCGGGGAAAAAGGGTGGGGGCCAATCTAAGCCTCCTTCACGCTTTTCCTTCTGCCCCCCCACCTCTCTATCAAGGTGACTTGATTCTAAACCTTAATAAAACCTAATTTTGTTAAAAGTTATTATTGTTAGTATTAGCATATAGAATTTGTATAGTAACTACAAGCGGTACAGCGATACGCACATGACTTTTTACTTAAATTTTTATGCTTAAACGATACAATTTATGAGATTTTCACTACTTTAAAAATATTTTAAATCTTGTAAAAATTGATTCTTTAAGATAAGATTCGCGTTATTATAACCGAATTTTAAAAAACTCACATTTTCATTGTACCCTTAGGACCGAGGTTAGTTTTCATTACATCTTGAATGCCTCTTGCAGCAGAAATATTTACAGCTAGAGCTTGAGCCGCCCTTGCAAATTCAGCTTTAGGGTTTAACAGACTAATTGCAGCCATTATCGAGGTTTAATTTACTATTATACTATTAAATTAATAAAATACCGAAAACCGAAAAGTCACACTTCGTCAAACACAGAAGACAATCAAAGACAACACAGATTACCACAGAGTACTTTGAATAATCAGAAACAGATTACTAATTACTGTTATTATTAAACTAGTCTACGAATAGACGAAACCACAGACAACTAAGAGGATACTGTAGACCACGGAATATAAAAAAACAACTTGTTTTTTATATTTCGTGGCAAAGACCTTATAGTCCGTTCGAGTTAAGAAAATAGTGAGTCATCAGTGCAACTACAGGGTAAAGGTTTATTCACAGTGGAGTAAAAATTCTTATTTTTTTCAAACATTTATGTTGAACATATTTGCTAGCTCAACGCCTGCAACTTTACAAGGCGCAGGTTCGACCTCAAATGGAATACTGTTCCCATCTCTGGGCAGGGGCTCCCCAGTGCCAGCTCCTTCCACTTGACCGCATCCAGCGCAGAGCTTCTCGAATCGTCGACGACCGACTCCTTTCCGATCGGCTCGACTCATTGGCACTGCAAAGAGATGTTGCATCTCTTTGCATTTTCTTTCGCATTTACCATGGGGAGTGCTCTGAGGAATTGTTCGGATTAATCCCAGCCGCCAAATTTCACGAACGCACATCGCGACAGAACTCCCGATACCATCCACACCATCTGGATGATTGGCGGTCCACCACTGTGCGATTTAGAAGATGTTTTCATCCTCGCACAACTTCCTTGTGGAATAGTTTACCATCAGCGATTTTTTCGGACCGATACGACTTAGGGACCTTCAAGAAAAGAGCCTACTCCTTTTTAAAAGGCCGGCAACGCATCTGCAATTCCCCTGGTGTTGCGGTTGTTCATGGGCGGCGGTAGTCACTTACCATCAGGTGAGCCGCATGCTCGTTTGCCCCCTCTCCTATAAAAAAAAAAACTTTTTTCCTCGCTTTCACTTAAAGTTCACATATCCAAAAATCCAATTGAAACGGTAGCACAGGCAAGAGCAGCAATCCGCTAGCTTGCCACATTTCTATATAATATTTATTTATCTATGGCAATCTGCCGAAGCGGCGGCGGTGAGGTTTGGCGGAACTTGACCGGCGGCGGATTGCTGCTCATTGCTCCTGTATCATTGTTTAAATAATGGTTTGAAGTGGATTTTGATATGTAAAAGTAGTGCGATTTTGTGTATTAATGTGTGATGTCTGCGTATGTGAACTATTAGTGGAAACGGTGAAACAAGTGCTCTGATGGTGATGTGATTCTCAAGATAAGGTGACTGTTAGCTTAGGCGCCTTGAGATACAATCTCCAACTGTCAGCTGTCTGCTGGCTCAAGTTGCCGTCAAAATCTCCCAAGGGCTGCACAATGTGACGCATCAACATATTGTGAAGCAGTGTAGTATGAAGGATAATTATACATTGTAACTTCAGGATCAGAAGGGCTACATCCCAGAGCCAGGTATAAAAAATAAGCGGCGGCGCTCAGGTTCCCGCTAAAAGTCATGTTAATTTGCGTTTAAAAACAAACAATACTTTGTTTGAATCCATAAATAAAAAGACAAATAATTTTTGTTTTGCCATCAAAACTATTTTTGTCACGACAACAACATTTTTAAAGTACTTACGGCACCTCTATTTTTCCATGAATTAAATAAAAACTACTTATTTTGTCATAACGGGATTTAGACTATCTGTGATTTAAATAGACTTATAATTCCGAATGAAACTATTACTGTCAGTGTTAGTGTCAGTGTCAGTGTCATAGATTGAAATTGTATTGAAATCCTAGGTGTTTTCATTTCCACTTCCACTTACGGAGACAAAAATAAACGTTCTATTTTCGATCGAATGTGTGAGTCAAATGTACCAGGGCATACCAGAAACTTCCTCGTGTGTATAAAAGCTTTCCCGGCGTAAGTTTATTTTATAACTGCAAAGTGTTAAACCAAAATGGGGGTTTTCAACGAAGAGGCAGAAAATTATAAAAATATAGGCAATGATGCGTTCAAATCGGAAAAGTTCGAAGACGCTGTGTCTTTTTATACCAAGGCTATAGATTTGTCGGAAAAAGATAGTCGAGATAGAGCTACATATTTAAAAAATCGTGCTGCAGCTTATTTAAAGATTAAAGAATACGAAAAGGTAATAAATGACTGTGATGAAGCTTTGCAAATAGTTCCTGAGGATCCTAAAGCCTTATTTAGACGTGCACAAGCCTTGGAGAGTTTGGATAGGTTTGAAGAAGCTTATAGAGATGCTAAAACTATTTTTACTGTTGATCCTACAAACAAAGCTGTTCAACCTGTGCTTGCACGGCTTCATGTTATTGTGCAAGAGAGAGCAAGAAAAAATGCACAAACAAGTAATAAAGTGGAACAAATGTTTAAGTTAGCTTTTGAGATAAGTGAAGATAAGGAGAAACGTCAAAAAGCTATGGGCAATTTAGTAGTGCTTGCTAAAGAATCATCTGGTGCTGATATTATGATGAAAAATGGTGTTGTCCACAAAATTCAACAATTATTGAAAATTGAAAAAAATCCGGATATATATATAAATGCAGTGAGAGTTATAAGTCAACTTTGTAAAAGATGTGTGGAGAGAACATATGCTGTTATCAAAGTGGTTGGCATACCATGGTTCTTAGATATCATTGATAGTGATAATGAAGAAAGAGTCAATGCAGCGCAGTACTGTTTTCAAGTTATATTGAATACATTATCAGGTATGGATACAAAGCATACAAAACCTGATCCTCAATTATGTGAAAAAAACAAATCGGAGATAGACACACTTCTAACTTGTTTAACATATTCAATAACTAACAGAGTTATTACTGGAATGGCAAGAGATGCTATCATGGAGTTGATAATGAGAAACTGCCATTATACTGCAATTAATTGGGCAGAGAGATTTGTTGAGATAAGGGGCTTACAACGCTTACTAGAAGTTTGCAGTGAACTGGAAGAATACAAATATGAATCTGCAATGAATATTACACCATCATCAGCCACAATTGCAGCTGCTTGTCTAGCAAGAATTTATGAAAACATGTACTATGATCAAGCAAGGGAGCGCTTTAATAACCAGGTTGATGAATTTGTAAAGGATAAGCTTATGTCTCCAGATCTCGAGTCAAAGGTCAGGGTGACAGTGGCTATAACTTCCCTCCTCCGGGGTCCCCTGGATGTGGGTAATTATGTTATTTCTAAGGAAGGAATAATGGAAATGATTCTAGTAATGGCACAAACAGAAGATCCTCTACAACAGAAGGTAGCCTGTGAATGTTTGATTGCAGCAGCATCTAAAAAAGATAAAGCTAGAGCCATTATTAATAAAGGTGTTGACATATTAAAAAAATTATATACAAGTAAAAATGATGCTGTCAGAGTGAGAGCTCTTGTTGGTTTATGCAAGATAGGTAGTTTTGGTGGTGATGATGCTTCAATAAGACCATTTGCAGATGGATCAACTAAAAAACTTGCTGAAGCATGTAAAAAGTTCTTAGTGAATCCAGCAAAGCAGAAGGATATGAGGAAATGGGCAGCCGAGGGTTTGTCATACCTTACTTTGGATGCAGATGTAAAGGAAAAATTAGTTGAAGATCAGGCTGCTATTCAAGCCCTCATTGAATTAGCAAAGACCGGTGATCAGTCTTGTCTTTATGGTGTTGTTACTACTTTAGTTAACTTGTGTAATGCTTATGAAAAGCAAGAAGTAATGCCTGAAATGCTTGAACTTGCAAAGTTTGCTAAACATCACATACCTGAACAGCATGAATTGGATGACCCTGATTTTGTTAGTAAAAGGCTAACTGTTTTATGCAAGGCTGGTGTTACAACAGGTTTAGTAGCATTATCTAAGACGGAGAGTCATAATTCTCGGGAATTGATTTCTAGAGTGTTTAATGCTATTTGTAGCCAGCAAGAATTAAGAGGTATTGTTGTTCAACAAGGTGGAGCTAAAGTTTTGATACCCATGGCTTTAGAAGGAACCCAGAATGGCAAAAAGCAAGCTGCTCAAGCTTTGGCAAGAATTGGCATAACAATAAATCCAGAAGTAGCATTTCCTGGTCAAAGAAATTTGGAAGTAGTTCGACCATTGATTGCTTTATTACACCCAGATTGTAGTGCATTAGAAAATTTTGAGGCTCTAATGGCACTCTGTAATTTAGCAGGCATGAATGAGACAACAAGAAATAGGATCCTCAAAGAGGGTGGTTTAGCGAAGATAGAACACTATATGTTTGAAGATCACATGATGCTTCAGAGAGCAGCGACACAATGTATTTGCAACTTAGTACAATCAGAAGAAGTTGTCAAAACATATGAAGCTAATAATGATAAATGTAAGTTTTTGTATTTATTATGCCAAGAAGAAGACACTGACACTGTGATGGCTGCAGCAGGAGCTCTATGCATTCTTACATCTGTAAGTAAACTTTGCTGCAGGAAGCTTTTGGATTGTCAAGTTTGGTTAGAAACACTAAGATTTCTATTGGCAAATCCTAATAAAGAAATTCAGTACAGAGGATCATATATGCTATATAATATTATTTCTGGTGACAAAGACATTGCAGCCAGAATTTTTGAAACAGATGTTATGGAAATATTGATGGCTCTGTCAAAATTAGAAGATCCTGAACAAAAAAAGACAAAAGAATTAGCTCAAAAATGTCTGGAGGCGGCTGAAAGCATGGGAGTAATTAGAAAACCTGATCAAAGTGGGGGTATTAGTCCATCCGAAGAAAGTAAGCAACATGAAAACAATGAAAATATGCAATAATAACCTTAAAGTTCATTAAAGCCTGTATAGTATAGTAATAATATAAATTATTATCCTTCTTAACATTTTAAATTAATTTATTATTATGTTTTATGTTATGTGTAATAAGTTTAGATCATGACAATAAAATATTGTTATAGTATTTTTGAGTTTTAGTTTCATTTCTTTTAGGTGTTGTCCATTTTTACTTTTTTATAGATTAAGGGTGACAAGCTAGCACACAGTCTACCTGATGGTAAATGGATGATGTGCCACAGGCATTTAAATCTTCATTAGATTTAGAATAAAAATTGAAGCAGATCTGAGGACTAAAATGGAATGCCTCATTGCCAGTAAAAAGGGTCTCCGTTTCTCTACACTCACCATTATTCTGCTGTTTCACTCTGGTATTCTGTGAGAACATCCCCGGTTGAGCCGACCCATTTGTGCTGCAGCCATAATTTAGCTGCAGCATGGCTCTACTACGTAAAATTATATGAAAACTATGTAAATTATTATAATAACTACAAAAAATTGAAGTTTCAGAGTTTTTAAGCTAATAAGTAAGAAATTTATATTGAAGAAAGTACGAGATTTCCATTATATCCTCGTTTAATATTAAATACTGACACAGGGCCTTGTATCAGAAATTTCCTATTAATATTTCATAATTTCCAGTTCACCAATTGGTATGTGTGTTTCTGACGTCACAGCCTATTCTTCTCCCCGGCTCGTATCGTCGGGCGGCGAACCTCAAATCGGTTCTGCGGGCGCTTCACGGTCCCACCACCTTCATGGACACAACGCGGCACCACAACAACGTGGCTCTTGCTCGGAACAACCCGGTCGCGAACGCACGCATTACGGCTACCTCTGTTATAGCAATCAATAAATTACCTATACAGTCTACATATTGAAGAATCTTATTTTAGTCAAGAATTCCACCAGCACAAGTGGTGCTTGATATTCAACAATGTGGTTGCTGTAGCCTATGAAAATCTGCAGCCAACCGCAAATAAAGTAGGCTATGTACCATATGCGTAGTTACTAGTTACCTACCCCTTAAGACTAAATAGAATTGTTGCGTGCCATAATTAATCCACTTGCGCCCTCTAGTATCGAGTAGCAGAACTGGGAGAGTCAAGAACTTTCTAGAAATTTCCATGGAAGAGCTTTCTGGAACAATTGACACCTAGTCAAGCGGAACGGATATGTACTCGAACATTCTAGATGTTTCTACAGTAGAAGGTTCTAGAAACTATCTGAGGCCCTATATAAGGCCGGTATAGACCGCAACCGAGGCAGTATTGAATTGGCGATACAAGCGTATGCTTCGAAGCAATACAACTGCGAACTATAGTGATCAGTAGTACAATTGTGTTTCTTAATGTGGTTTTAAGTTGTAATTAGTGTTCTGTAATTAAAGTGTCAATTTCGGTAATTCAATCGGCAGTTTTTTTTAATTGTCTCTAACCCCAAGTTCGTAACAGAATTTATTAAAAGTTCATAATTACACTGGTTCCCTACTTAGGTACTAGAATGGTCATCTACTACGTTACATAGTAGTGCCGTGCTACAGCTATATTATGGTTGTATCACGAATGATTTGGATCGACCGGGCAAAGACCACAGCAGCATAGCAGCTTATAATGCTGCTGTGTTTTGAATTGTGGTGTAGAAAACCGGAAACCCTTTTTAATGAAAACGGAGCATTCCATCTTAGTCCTTAGGGGTCTGCATTTTGTTCTTAATCGAGGATAGATGAAGATGCCTATGGGCTACGGCATCCAGGCACGTTAGAATGTTTTCTTATTCACCCTTATTTCATATAAAAACCTTTTGCAAAATATGTAAGAGTGTTAAGTAGAACCTCAGGGTAAAACCTAAATACTCTGTGGGTAGAACTCAAAGGCAAAAAGTTTTAGCACCCCGAGAAAGGAATATACTCTGATACCTTGACGCGCGCGCATTTTTCAAAATCTACGATGCGGTATGGAATAAAGTCTAGATGTGTTTTCATGCCTTTTCAAAAGCATTAGGTACTGAAAAGCACAACTAGCTAAATTCAAGCTAGCTAAATAAGCTGCTTCAATTCAAGCAAGAATATCCCGAGATGAAACAATTTAAGGAATAAGGAAGTGTTACGGTATTTCTTTTATAGGTAATTCAAGATGACAATAAATGTAAGAATAATTTTTGCTTAGCAGGTACCTAGTTCGATAGCCGAGTTCAAAAAAAGTAGGACATTCACAGTTCCACTGTGCCTACGATTGCATTCATGTAATACGATACCTTAGTATTTTTATCCTGAGGGTTAATCTACCTGTGTTTGTAAATGCGTTATTTGTATCCCTCCCTATCACATCTTCTACCAAACTCCCAATTTATCATTATTCCTCACGCATTCAGAACTTGAGAATGCCATCATTCACTAATGAGGCATGCCGCCGACTGTAAAACACAAAATAACTTTAAAAATAAGTGGTGTGATCGAAAATTATACTAGAGAGTAGAGAGTACCCTGTAGGCGACGCGCGGACGCAGTACCAGGTGTCTGTAAGAAATGGGTTAGGTTTGTTGCACTAAGGACGGGTGCAACATAAAAATAGATTGAATGTAGGTTGAGAATTGTTGTAGGTTGAATGTAGCGTGTCTGTAATAAACAAAGTGGAAAGGTCCGATATTTTGAGTGACTTTTTCTTCTTCTTCGAGTGCCTCTCATACTAGCGAAGGTTGGAAATCAGCTTTAAATACTCCTTCTTGTTCTTCGCGAGGCGAAAGATTTCGGCAGCACTCCCGATTCCCGTCCATTCTCGGATGTTGCGCAGCCAAGACTTTATTTTGCGACCAACAGCTCTCCTTCCGGCAACCTTTCCCATCATAATGAGTTGCAAAAGTTCATATCTTTCATGCCTAAACATGTGTATGAGATATGCAACTTTTCTTTTCTTGACAGTCTCCAAAAGTTGCCGTTTCTAGTTGACGCGTCGCAGAACTTCTACGTTCGAGATATTTTGAGTCCAACTAATAGCCAACATACGTCTATATGCCTACATCTCGAAAGCTTCTATACGTTTCTTCTTTAATCATCCACGCCTCGCATCCGTAAAGAAGTATAGGCCAGATGTAGCAATGTAGGAATCGTATGTATTAACGTGCAAAAGGCACTTCGAGCTATTTCTATGTGAGTCTTTACCTCCTGTTCACAGCTCCAGGTATCATTAAGCCATGTCACTAGATATTTGTACTTGCGCACCCTCTCAATTTTTTGGCCTGCTACAATGATAGCAATGTCATCGAAACTATGCGTAGATAATACCATGATCTTCGTTGTTGATGTCTTCATCCGCAGACCAGTGTTTTCACTGTCAATTGTAAATCTTCAGGAGATGATGCTATTAGGACTGTATCGTCAGCGTATCTGATGTTGTTAATATACCGGCCATTTATTTGACTCCACATTCCAGGTCTTCAATTGGTTCTGCTATTATTTATTCCGAGTACAAATTAAATAGCGTAGGTGATAATATACAGCACTGTCGAACTCCTCTCTTTATTTCGACCTCATCAGTCTCCGCATCGCCAACTCGTACAGTAGCTTTCTGCTTCCAATGCAGATTCTGAATAATACGTACGTAAATACCACGATTTTTAATGTCCCTAATTAGTAATAATAATCAAAATTAACTACGGTAAAACAAACGAAGTACTTTATACAATGTTCTGTACATTTCATTTTTATATCTTCGTATTAATAATATTCCATAGCCTCGCCCTATTTGTGGATGCCCTAATCAGAAGTTCCCCGGTCTATGAACCTCCTTGATGAAAAGCAAATAAGTCCACTTTATCTTTACCCCCATGCACTTGTGAGGTGGACTGGATTTTACCGTTCGCTGGTCTTCAGAATTTTTTTCCGACCACAAGAGAGGCCAAAAAGATTTGAGGTCAAATGGTCACGTAATGTCTTTTTTTAATTTGGCAACGTTTTTAAGTTTTCTTCTAATATCCATTCCGTTCTGTTTTGTGATCTTGTGCAGGACAAGCCAGGTAAGATACATCAAATGCTTGCACTTATCATCATATACGCATTCAATGTGGAACCATGACTTTGACACCGGTGGGTATCAAAGTCATGGGCAAAACGGATAAAATACTCTACTGATTCACGTACCACATCGGTTATAGCAGGCGAGAATCAATACACATTACAACGTGTTATAAAAACGTTTTTTTTTTCGTTTAGAGATGCATAATTAGTAGATGTTATTCACTTAAGAATTGTTTTTCAAAGATTGTTGTTAACCTTTCACGTGACATTCCACTCGTGACTAAAACTGCTCGGGGCAAGCAGATCAATAACACCAAGGCGACCCCTGTCACGCTATCCGTGAATTTTGCAACATCAGGGGACTTCATTCCAACTTTAACGCTGTCCACTACCATCAAGAGACGGCAAAGCCGGCCTTGCTCTTTTTAACCGAGATTCAGATGTCCTCTCCAGCTGATACTTCATATCTCTCCTACCCGGGGTACAAATTAGAACATTCCTTAGTGCCCCGGGCTGGAGTTTGCGTATACGTCAAAGAGGACATCTGTTTTCGACGCCTCGGCAGTCTTGAAGGTACGCACCTGTACATCCTATGGCTGCGTTCAGACAGCAACGACCATCCCCGCGTCTACGGGTGCCTCTATACGTCCCATAGCGATAATTCCGAAACAGACCGAGTCATCGAACACGTCCAAATGGCTACAGATTCCTTGCTACAGCAGATCCCATCCGTGCTCGTGATCCTTGGCGATTTTAACGTCCACATCGCCAAATGGCTCGGTTCCAGTTTAACCGATCTTGCGGGGAGATCTGTTTAGGCATATGGTCTTATACAGCTGGTTACTTCACCTACGCCGATTCCAGATGTGGAGGATCATGCACCTTCCCTGTTGGATCTTCTGCTGACCTGATACAATTTGCCGACGGAAACCTGATATCCGGACGGATATTAGGTTTCCGTCGACGCCGC